GTTCCTCCTTATATGCTATTATTATCGTCTATTTAAATTCTATATTTAAAATCCAAAAGACATTACCATTATTACATATAAAATTGATATTCATTTAGCTTTGTCCATGTATTTAGCACTTTGGTTGCTTTTTCACTTCTAGATGCATTTCTGATTCTTCAATGCTGAAAAAAATTTTAAAAATCTTAATGTTTGCCTTTACATTTGAATGATAATTAGGCTGGATATAGACCAAATTTAATTTTCCTATAGAAGTTGAAAGACATTGTTTCACTGTTTTTTAGCATTCCTTGTTGTAGATTAGAGATCTGATGATAATCTGGTTTTTCTCTTCTCTGGAAGATTTTGGGATTTTTTTTCTTTTTTCTTTGGAGGCCTAGGATGTTCATTTTTAGGTGATTTTTAAAAAATTAATCTCACCTGGTAGGCCTTTTTCAGGTCTGAAAACTTTCTGTTATTTTCTCTTTCCGTTCCTCTAGAACACCTTTTAGAAAGATAAGAGAACATCTGGATTGCTTCTGCATACTGTTTAGCATTTGTGTTCCATTTTTCTTCTTTTTGATATTTTCTTCTATGTTCTATACAATCTCTAGGCTCCATCTTCCAGTTTCTAATCTGATCTTCAGTGAGATCCATTCCAATATTCAGCACATCTTGATTTTTTTATACTAATATTTGTAAATTCTCAGAGGTGATTATATAGTAGTTACTGTTTTTTTAAATTGATGGGACATATTTTAGAATCTCTTTCATAATCTATACTGTGCCTCTTTTAAACTCATCTTCTTTTTCCACTTACCTGACTCCTTAACTCAGATATTCTTCTGTTTGTTAATGATGACACCTTTATTTCATGGCATTGGTTTTCCTCAAATGTTTGTGATTTTTAAAGTACCTGTTGGTACTTTAGTTATACTTCTCTGGTGTGCTTGTTCTTTCCTCAGCCCAGTGAGAACCCACTTGTCTTGTTGAATGATGTGTTGGACACCGGACTTGGATTCAGGTCAAATCAGATTATCTGATGTGCTGCTGATATTGGGGGCAGGCAGGGAAATGGGACTCAACCAGGTAGTTTGTCTTTAAGATATTTGCTTCCACTCTTGGCATTGGTCATGCCACAACTGTCCCTGAGACACCTACTGATAGCTTTTTGCTGGGAATCTGCTTCTTGGAGTTAGTCACACCCTTTTTTGTTAGTGTTATTATGGCTTCTTTCTTTTTCCTATATTTTTTTTTAGTACCAACATAAATATTTATTTAGAATGAGAAAATAGTTATGATATAATATATATTAAAATGCTGAAAAAACCATAACTATTACAGAATTCTGAAAAGCAACCATATTTTTATAAATTAATTGCCTAACAGGCCTCTTCATTAATTCATTTATTTGGGGTTGTTGAATTAGTGGTCTTAAAAGAATCTCATTTAATACTAGGACATCCTAAGGGATATTTAATTAAAAATAAAGTTTGAGCCCTAGCTCCTGTGGCTCAGTAGATTGAGCACTGGCCTGTGAACCAAAGGGTCAGTGGTTCAATTCCCAGTCAGGGCACATGCCTGGGTTGCAAGCCAGGTCCCCAGTAGGGGGTGTGTGAAAAAGGCAACCACACATTGATGTTTTTCTCCCTCCCTTTCTCCGTCCCTTCCCCTCACTAAAAATAAATAAATAAAATATTTAAAAAAGATTTGAGGTTGATATGTGTATCTATAAAGGGCATTTCATTTCTCCAGGTTACAAAGATGTTACCTTTGGTAGTTTCTGCCAGGTATACATGTCTAAATTATAGCAGAAACCTCAGCTAGACTTACCTCAGACATGACTAGCTATCAGAAGTGACCATTCATTCAAAAAGTATCTTCTTCCTATTTCTTTATTTAGGGTTTGGGGCTAGATGGATGGTAGCCAGGACTGAGCCACCCGTCTTGGTCCAATCAGTTAAGTTTCTTTAAAGCCTTCTTCTCAGTCTTGCCCCTTAGCATAACGCGTTGCAGCATTCTAGTTCCATACAGCATTTTGTCCTTACTTCTTTCACAGCACTCTTCCACTGTAACATTTTTAAGAAGTGTCTTAATTGTCCTTCTCCTTGCCTTACTGAATTAAATTCTGTAGCCAAGACAAGTGTAGGTGTCAGATTGGCACAGATGCCTCAGCTAGGACTGGGAATGGGTTTGATAGCAAGTAAGTGAAAATGGGGTATGGAAATACAACAGGTCCTCCAATAAGGTGTCATTTCATTCAAAGTTGTTTCTTTGTAATGTTGATGAGATGCTGTAAGGACTTAACTCTTGTTTATATATATTAGCCTATGGTAACATCTGTTTCGTTGTGCATTATTTTGCTTCAAGTTGTAGAACCGATCAATAACATCAACTGAGGACTTACAGTATTACATGGATGGTACTGCTGGATCCAGAATGGCTTCCCCACTGGGTGTTGTGTAGTCTTTTGTCTCAGCAAGAACCTATTCGATGTTTAAGTCAAATTTCTCAACCTTGTGAATGAACGTCTTCCAAAGCATTGAGTTACAATAACCTATAGAGCAGCAATTTTCAATCTGTTTCATCTCATGGCACATATAAACTGATTTCTAAAATTCTGTGGCATGCCGAAAAATGTGTTACATTGTTTGCCAAGCTGACAAAAAAATAGGTATAATTTTGATTCGCACCTGGTGGTTATCTTTGGGTTGGCTATTGTCATTTTTTTAATTTGACAGTCTAAGGGAGAGGAGATCAGTGCCCCTGACTAAATAGTCAGGTATTGCATGTTTTCAAAGTTCTTGCGGCTCACCGGTTGAAAATGACTAGTCTATAGTTAGGTTGACTTTCTAAGGATACTGGTTCTACCCTCAGAAATGACCACCTCTGGTCTTTCTTGGAAAGGAGGGCACTTCTCTTACTAGATTCCAAGGATTGAATCATCTGGGTTTATATGTATTCTTTCTGTCTCTTTCACCCTTTCTGGAGGGCCTCTGTTTAATGAGGAAGTTAATGGTGGAGAAGGCTGAGAGTTAACTAATTCTTTAATTAGTTACATCATAGTACTCTTTCCCACTCTTAAAATGTCCTATTTAATTAAGAAAATAGGAAACAAGTTGTCCTTTGATACATCTGTTAATATCTAAGTTATTCAAATGCTGACCTCTAAGAGTATGATTAGGCTCTTAAAAGATTGTATGATGATGCCTGGGGCTCCTGATATGAGCTTTGCTATTATATCTGTCATCACATTTCAGATGATTAGAATTTTCAAAAAGATGCCAACATACCAAGAATTACCACGAATGTATTGAAACTGATACTGACAAGATATCAAGATAAGATATTAAATAGTGCTTTTATTGAGATTATAATGGGGTCTTGTTTTAGTTCTATGGTATGTTCTCTCTTTCTGTAATTACTTAATTAGCTAAGCCACATCCCTCCCTCCCCTCTACAGACACGTACAAATACTTAATTGTACCTTAAATTCAGATGTACTTGTATATGAAGATCAGATAAATGCCCAGGATGTAGGACACTTACAGGGACTAGTGAGAAATAATACTGCTCAGATGGGCCATGAAGGACCTTTTATAAGCTTTCCTCTTCCATCCCATGCTGTTGCTTTTTTTCTAGAACATCTTGGAGATAAGGAGAAGCCTTTGAGGAACATTAAACAGGTGGTGATATAGTATTTATGTTATAAAGACATCACTCTGGCAGGTCTGGAGAAGATGAATTGAAAGGAAATGAAACGAAAGACAGAGGTGCCAGTTAGGAGGCCATTACTATTCTGAGCAAGACACTGGGCAGAAACAGAGGCATTGGCAATTGGTATAGATGGGTTAGGGAGAGATCAGAGCAAGATTAAGGTACAGAATCTGTAAGACTGAAGCAACTGATTAGATGTGAAGACAGAGTTAGAAGTTAAGTGCACATTGATCCTTGCAGGTCTGTGATAAAATATTACAGCCCCCAAATGCACTGAGTTTAAGTACCTTTTTTCTAATTACTATTTTTTTTTTTGGTCTTGGGAAGGAAAATGTAGCCATAAAAGAAGAGCAGTTGCACCAGCATTTGACCAGATTGCAGACTTTTTTTATCCTTAGGAATAAAAAGTCAAGCTTTTTGATCATTCTATGTCTTCTTTCTGGACCTAACCTATGTTGTTCTACAACTATGTTTTTCCCTAACCCTCAAGTATTAGTTCACAAATCTTATATTTAGTGAAGCTGTTTTATTTTTCCCTTCTCCCATAACAATTGTACTGATGATGTTTAGTGCTAATTGTATGCAATTTAATTTTCAGATTGTGGTAATCATTATTGCTGTTTTTATTTTCATTCTTTCTTCCTCAGGCATAGTCAGCTATAGATACTCAGCAAAATTATGCCCTTTGGGATGATTTTCAATTTTCTCACTTTGGGAGGCATATTTCTGTGTCAGTCATGAAGAGTTCAGTTTGGATTATTAAACACTTGAACCCCTAGTTTCCACATTGCACCATTTAACACTTTTATATTTTCTTGCAAATGGAAAACTTAGTCCATCTGTGTGCTATTTGGGTATTTTTGAAGACCTCATCTAATTTAGGCAAGTATGTGCCTGTCCTCCAAATCCATATTCTATCTCTTGTTGTACAGAAAGGCCTGCTATGCGGGAAGTAAAGGAGAAGTGGCTTCAGCGTTCATGGGTGCACCCTTGGGCCTTTTCCTCTGCTTTGGAGAACCTTTTCCTTAGGCCTGGAGAACCATGTGCAAAAGGGTGTGGTTTTTTAAACAAAAGAAGCATTTCAACATATGTCTGGTAGTATGTGATCTTAGCACTGTGTTTTCTTGAAAGTATGTAGCTTATATTGCCACAGTTACTCTCACTCCTTGGGCCCCTGGAGGATCAGGACTTGTTGATGTAATAATGAGTTTTCATCATCTGTAATAGCTGTTATTCTGGGAAGTGTGGAAATTTGTTTCATTATAGAGTTCAAATTGATGCTTTTCTATGTTTTAACCCTCCAGAAATGCATCTTCTGTAGACACCGGGTTAAGAAGGTCTCTGGAGCTTGCATCCAGTGTTCCTACGGCCGCTGCCCAGCCTCATTCCACGTCACATGTGCTCATGCTGCTGGAGTGCTGATGGAGCCTGACGATTGGCCATACGTGGTGAACATCACGTGTTTTCGACATAAGGCCAACCCAAATGTGGTAAGGTCTTCTCTCCCTTCCCTGATTCTAAGACTGTGTGAATTTCCTCATAATGTTACTCATTGTTGACATGTCTAGACTTGAGGTGTGGGTTTCTTGAGGGCAGGGATTATACAATATTTTGACTTGTTGTTTGCATAGGACCCATCAGTGTCTGGCATGTGTTAGACACAATAAATATTTCTTGAGTTGAATGAGTGAATGAAAAAGCATAATGATGTTGCCTCTTTTAGTTTTGGATTTGTATATGGCTGCTGAGTGTGGTTTTGCAGACTGTGCACTGCACATAGCCAGAGTGATGGGGAGACCGTGTCTGGGAGGGAGTGATGTGCAAGCACCACCTGAGATTATGCAGTGCTTAATGTACACAGCTGTGCACTATGGCCTTGGGTTTTATTTCATCCCTTCTAGACGAAACAAGAGAGTAACACAGTGAAGCAAGAGGGTGTGGTTGTGCAGAAGTCCAAGATGGAATAAACTAGGGGAAGTATGGAGGCCCTTAGAGGAGTGGGGGCAATGCAGAAAAGCAGAAATGTTGAAGAGAAGTATAGATACCAGTTTTTTCTGCCACTCTGTAAAAGAAGGACCTATAAAAGAAGAGCGGTTCCCTATGTTTGGCAGAAGAGAGTTTGCAACCAAATAGCATGTGAACTTAACTGTAATTCAGTTTACCTGTCCTGAGTGAATGGAATCTTTCCTCTATTTTAATTGCTTAAAAATAGTATGACAGTGTAGAGATGGTTGTTATGCTTTTGTTAGCTTTCCAATTCATGGTAATTGTTTTTGGCTGCCAGTGAGGAGACTAAAACATTATATCGATGCTCAGCTTCACTCACTTACTGCCCTTTGTTATCCCTGGGAGGCTTGGCCACAGACTATTTGCAGCCTAACATGCTTGTCCTATGTCTCTAATAACCTCCTGTGAGTAGCTTGCCAAGTTGTCAGTGTGGACTTGGGGGGCCATGACCCATACACAACAAATCTCCCAGCTTTTTAGTGATTCCTGCAACTTCCATGGGTATCTTGAGAAATACTTGACGCTTGTGGGTTGGGACTCTGCAGTTGTGTGTGAATGTGAGAATGTACAAAAAGATGTCACTGTCTCATCTATCTTAAAACTATTTTCCATGTTTTTCCATTGTTTTAGGTCAAAGCCACATATTTATTTGTGCTTTCTTTGTAGTTCCTTGAGTTCATGGGCTCTTGCTAAGACTAATATTATGTATTCAGCAGAAAATACATTTTAGCAATTTTAAAAATGTTCTAGTATTAACACATTGTGTCACTGGTGCTTTGCCATTTACAATGTTCAGTCAGGAGCATTACCTCATTAGCTGTCATGTGGTTGGGATGTGAAGGAGGCCATGACCTCTGGAGTCAGAGTATTTGGTGTTCACACTTAGATTGTGCCAGTAGTAACACATGTGCAGCCTTGTGCAAGTTCATATCTCTGAGCTCCAGCTTCCTCCTACAAACAATGACATGCCTACTTCACCATATGTTTTTCATCCATAGCACAGAGTAAGCCTCAGAAAATGAAAGTTGTAACACTGCTTTCTCTTTTTACGACTACTACTGCTGCTGGCTTTGCTGATACAATCCTGTGTGAACTGGGACACATGAGTAATATTCCTGCTTAAAGGATAAGACACCTAAATTCAGAGAAGGTTCACTTCCTTGCCCAAGCAGAATCAGTTAATGAGTGGCAGGTGCTGGAATTTCTTTTCAGCCCATACCCTGCTACTTGTTGAATTCCAAATCTCAAACCTTGAATGGTGCTAGAGGTGTTCATCTGTGCTTGGGATCATACGTTGCCATTTTAATATTCCTAAGCTCTGTGGTTACTAATGATTATATTGATGTTGCTATTAAAGAGATGCAGGTGTTTAATCAGGACCCTGTTCCTTTTAAGTATGATGTGTGTGGTTCAGCTAGGTTTATGTTACTAAAGTGTTTCATAAATGATGATGAAAAAGAAAATATTTGATTTTGAGGTGATTTAGAAGCTTCTCTGTTCTTCCCTTTAAGCTTGGTGTACTTTGTAAGGGTAGGGAAAACAACATATAATTTATAACATTTCATGTGGCAGTTTTTTCTTATGAGGGAAAAAATTAATGTTTCTAAATTGCCTTTGCAAAGTTTTCTAGTGGGAAGCACTATGAGCATTAGATAGTTGAAAATCTATTCCCATTAGCTTTACTTATCCAATATTCCTCCATTAGACTCCAAGTATGGGTTCCTCTCCAAAATGTTTGACAGCTAACCAGAGGCATAGACTCTAGCAATTCGGGTGAAGAGCATTGTGATTACATTCAGTGTTCTTTCCTTTTCAAGCATAAGGAAGTTCAGATTCACTCAAGTATTTCTCTTTGTGTAAATTGTGAATGCTAGGAGGTGTGCTCCCTCGAGTCAGAACTGTACTTTGTCTATGTTCTCAACCATACCTTGGTTTTTTGGGAGTCATGAGCAGTTGCTGAATCATAGCAGTGAGCACTATTAACATCAAGCTAACTTGGCAGCCTAACCCTTTTTCCAGAATAGAGGATGCCTGTACAGTTTAGGTGAAATGAAGTCTAAACTACAGTTACCTCCACAGGATCTCCATTTTCACTCACTCTTGGTTTTTGTTTCCCTTATTTTTTGTTCTAATTTTTTACATTTTGCATCAAAAATGACCATTTTAAAGGCAAACTCTACTCTTTCTTTAATGCCACAAATTATTTGAAATATATTAGCTTATTCAACATTATTGAGCTTTGGTGGAAAATTGTAATCATGCATAATGTTAGAAAATTTCATCTAATTTATTATGCATTCTTTCATCAAATAATAAGCACATTCTGTAATTAAAAAGATATTACTTTTTTAAAAAATAGGTAGTTTTCAAATTCTTAAAGGTAGAAAGGCATATGTAACAGAAAGTACATGGTTTATCCCTGTTATTTTAATCTAAATTTTAGTATATGTTTTTCAGTGTTTTTGTCAAATATGTTTTTTGACTGGCACCTGCTGTCTTTCAAATGTAAGGTTTTATTTGTGTGTGCATGTGTGTATACACACATGTGTTTGTGTGGATAGCGTAGTACTTGACCACCCTTTGCTATGACCTAGTGTGACCTATTTCCTGGCTCTGTTTCTGAATGTTTAGTTGAATTTCCTATCCCATTAATCTGAATGCTACAGAGATGCTTGTAAGGAAGAGAAAGGAGAACACAATGAGCAGTAAAATGGCTTAGAAACTGGGAGCCTTGGAAACATTTTCCTGCTCCAAACCAAGCAATGAGCTACTCATAAATTAATATACTTCTTGCAGAGTTCAGACACCACAGGGCCCATCTCCTCACACCTGAGTAAACTAGACTGGTGTCCAATGGAAGGGATGCTGGATTACCAAGGGAAATGGAGATTAGAAAGATGGCATACACAGACTTTTTCCCAAGCAAATTATTTCAAAAAGCCTTCATATTAGTTTAGATCATTCCACATATGCAGAATAGGAGCACCACAATCACTTGTACTTTCTGCAGTAATTCATTATGATGATCATAGCCTATTTTTTATTTTCATACTGTTCTCTTGGAAAAATGATATTTGAGTTATTAGTTGCCTTCATAGTTCCTAAGTTGTGGCTTTTAACATGGACACAGACACCTATTCAAAACAGAAGAAAAACTTGTATAGAGAAAACACCTTAGTGTTCAGTCCTTTTCCTGCTACTTTGTTTATTTTTTGTTCAACCTGATTTTTAACTAGATTGTGTTTAACTAGATCATTATTTTAACTAGGTTAACTGGTATTCTGTCCTTTTATTTCAGGAACTAGTACTTGGCCATTCATAGAAGCTATATGGTATAAATTTGTTGAAAAATTTTTAATGCTAGGGAATGAGATTAGTGGGAAAGAAAGAAAACTAATATTTATTGAGCATTTTTTATGTCAAATGTGTGTTAGATGTTTTACTGTTCACTTTATTTCAAGGCAGTGTGGTTGGTGTGGATAGTAGTGGTTATATTGGCTTCTGTACTGGTGCCTTGAACTCTGGAAGGTTCTCTTATATAATATGTGGTAATTCTACCCCTCTATCCATTCTTCCTGTTCTAATCTGGCACTTGTCTTAGTAATAGAACTTGAGTCCTTGCTTAGCACTTACTGAGTTCTTTTATCCAGCCTTTCCGTATTCAGATCAGCTCCCAGACAAGCCTCAGTACAACTCCTTCCCTGCCATCAGTATGCATGACTCAGTACAGGAGGGCACACCCACATGCACAAGATCTGGTGAAGGGCTCAGAACAAGACAGCTTTTTTGGTTAATCTGTGCCCCTACAGACAGCAAACCTTTGAGTGGTAATGGGGAGGGATGCCTGTCATCACTAACTTCATAAAACCTTTCCTTGGTATGCAGGAACCACTCACCTCGCTAACATGCAAACAATGGATGATCAAGGCCCCTAAATTTTAAATCCTAGAATAGCAGTTCTTACAACAGGAAAATATTGTATATCCTATTACACTTTCATTAGCAGTTATTGAGAAAATACATAGTGATGAAAAGCTAAGAAATCAATGATTTATGTGAATTCATTTATTATAAAGAGTCTGCTGTGTTTCAGGTTTTTGTGGATTAAGAGACCCCAAACACTCACTCCTGCTGTAAATTCCCACTTAATTAGCCAAGGATTTAGAGAAGTAGCAGAAATGGGTTGACCACAAAGGGTGGAAGTGAATGCAACCTATCATAACAAAACTTTTCCCTGCACCCTGTTAATTTAATGAGTATATGCAGTTGCCTGTGTGTAGGGTCCTGCCAGACCTGAAATAGAAGGTACATGTTTGCTTTTATTCTCAAGACTCATTCAGGAAAACATTATCCATTCTTTTCATTTAGTAAACTGGCCCAGTTCTTAAGCCAGAGTCAATCAAGGTCAATAAGACCAGTTGTTCTACTATGGGAAGAAAGTAGACTTACTTCCCAAATGGGTACCTGAGAAACAGCTCCCTCC